AAATCAATATAAACTAAAAACTATTAAACAAAATCTAAAAATAACGGCGAGAGCAGCATACCTGCGCCACACAAAAAACCACATCCCCGCTATACCTAGACGAGAAAAGGAAGTTAAAGGTGCCTCCACCCTAGTGCTGAAATACGCAAGCAGCAGGGACCCGCAGGGAGCATCGCTCACACCAATCACAGGAAATCAGCGGAGGTACAGGCGACAAAAAAAGCATACAGGTGGTACAAAATCAGGAAGCCAAAGTAAGTTTTAATAATACTTATACATAAAGCACATTAGCGGAATTTTCAAGCCATTATCAAACTGTAATCTAACTCGTTTACCAACGGTACAGGACTTACCGTTTTTCTCTAATTTATATGGAAACCGCTATTTGTCATCCACAGTTTGATAAAATCCGCTAAAGTGTTCTCTCACATACATACATATATAAAACAAACTTACGTTTTACATATGTGCATAAATACTTCCCGCTGAATATCTTCCTTCTCACTGGGTAAACATATCTCGAAACGCCTTTGAGTCTCAATTTCCTGCTGTGGTGGCGTTAAAAATTCCCGCTATTGCACATTTGTAATACGCGTATATGTATGTACACATATTCAGCTCTCGCCTAGCTCCCTTTTGCAAAATCGTGAGTTCAAACGTATGTATTTATATACATATGTATATACATAAAACCGCTAACCCAAAAAAGTACATGCGAAGAGTTATATGTACATACGTATATGTACATGTAAGCATACATACACCCTTTGCATATTTGGTCAGAACCTTTTCCCGCCACTTGATCGCCAGCAATTATTTTACTTATACATTTGTATAGACAAATCCCATTTACATTAGTATATGCAACTTGTGCTCATCGCAATACTTAAAAACAAAAAAAAAACAAAACATTTCACTTAGCACTTCGAGTTCTTGCATTCATGCTACGATTTATTAATAAATCTCGTAAACGACCAAAACTTTGAATTGGCGTGGGACGCATTAAAATCACGTTACGAGAATCGCAGGATTCTCGTTGATAGCCAAATAAAAACCCTATTCAGCATCCAACCCCTAAATTCGGAAAATGGTGAAAAGTTCCAAGAGATCCAAACCATTATTAACAATTGCCTCTCAGTATTGAATGCAAACGGCGTTGCCAGAGGAAGTTGGGACCCGATGTTAATATATCTCTGTTCCTCTAAGCTCCCAGACGAAACACTCACGTTATGGGAGCAATCTCTAGACTCCAGAAAAGAACTGCCTCTTTGGTCAGAAATGGACAAATTTTTGACAACCCGGTATGAAGTGGTAGAGCGGCTTGGTACGTACAGGCCGAATAAACCTAACCAGAAGCCCATTCAGAATCACACTCCCAGGTCGTCGACTCCCGCTAATCACTCCTTCAGCTACAAGAACAAAACCCGTGCATTCCATATGCAGCAAAAGAGGCAGGTATCTTGTAAGCTCTGTAACTCAAACCACTCGATGATGAGCCGCGTAAAATTTAGGGAACTCTCCGTCCAAGATCGTAATAAGTTTATTAAGGACAACAAATATTGTAGGAACTGTCTGGCATTCTCGCATACAGAAGGTGAATGCGGAAGCAACTTCACGTGTGTGTATTGCCAAAAACGCCACCATTCACTCCTACATTATGAGTCTAAGACCCAATCATCAAACTCTGGTGCTCGGCAAAGGATAAGCCAGGCACAGGCATCGCCTCAAGCAAATTGCGACCCTGACAAACACTCAACCTCCAAGCAAACCCCAAAAAACGCAGGCCCCTCGAACACAGGCCAAAAGGACAAGGTATTTTCACATTTTGCTAGTTGTAGGGAGAAAACTTTGCTCCCCACCGCAATTGTACCCGTTTTACATCAAGGTGAAACTTTTCCAGTTCGAGCGTTAATAGATCAAGGGTCCCCAAAAACCTTTGTATCCTCCCGCATCCAAAAGCTGCTGGGTCTACCAACAAGCAACACAAAATATGAGATTTTGGGTATGGGTGGACGGGTAGTCGAAAACGCTAACAAAACCTGCACGATGACAATTTGCTCACCGGACTTGCAGGTTCAAATCGCAACTCAAGCGATAATTCTCCCAAAGCTTACCCAATTCTTGCCCTCATTCAAGGTTACATATACAGACCTGAAAGAGTACTCCAAATTGTTTTGCACCGGCCCGCATAGATATGGTGATAGGAAGCGATTTGATACCCAAATATTCATCCAAGGACTACAAAGTAATGTCGCTGGAAGCTTAATAGCTCAAAATACAATCTTTGGGTGGATATTAAGCGGACCAGTTGTCGAACAAGTCGCCACGTTCTCTACTCAGGTATCAGAAACTCCAGATGATTCCCTCAACGTACTCTTAAAAAGGTTTTAGGAACAGGAAGAAGTCATTCAAGCTCCCACTTTGACAGAGGAGAATAAATACTGCGAAGAACTATATAAGAGAACCACCACCCGGAGAGAAGATGGACGTTACGAAGTCAAGCTCCCATTTAAGGAGGATTTCCCGCAAAATATAGCCTTAGATCATACTCGATTGGCAGCACAACAACAGTATATCAGCATGGAGCGTACCGTGGAGAAGAAACCAGAGTTAAGAACCCAGTACTCAAACGTCTTGGAAGAGTATGTGACTTTGGATCACATGACACGAACTTCACCCCTAGAAATGATTAAAAACGGAAAATACTTCTCATTCTATTTGCCCCACAGGTGCGAGTCGTCTTCAACGCCTCTAAAATATCCCACTCTGGAAATTCACTAAACGACGTACTCCACACAGGTCCCACTCTACAGAACGATTTAATGGTAATAATCCTCCAATGGCCACTCTATAAGTTCGTTTTTAATGGCGACATTGAAAAAATGTACCGCCAAATCCTCGTCTCTGAGGAAGACCAAGACTTTCAACGGCTCCTCTTTCGCAGATCTCCACAGTCGCCACTCGAAGACTTTAAATTAAAAACGGTGACGTTCGGCGTGAACTGCGCACCGTACTTAGCCATCAGAACGTTGCAGCAATTAGCCGAAGACTGTAAAAGTGAATTTCCTCTCTCTTACAATGCCTTGTTACGAGAAACATATGTAGATGATATACTGTCAGGCGGCCACGACATACAGTCCACTCTCGAAACAATGACCCAAGTAATCGAAGCGCTTAAGTCCGCAGGTTTCCCGCTGAAGAAAATAACAGCTAACCATCCCATAATATTGGAATCAATTCCCGATTCGGAGCTTCTTCATGCGGACTTCCTCAAATTCCAAGCCGCTAGCTCGACAAAGACGCTTGGAATAAGGTGGAACGCCCTGACAGATTCATTTTCGTATACGTATGACCCCAGATCCGACACAAACTCAACGACCAAACGACACATATCGGCGGTAGCGAAATTGTTCGACCCGGCAGGGTGGCTCGCCCATAATGGCACTAGCCAAAATTCTTCTCCAACAACTCTGGATGGAGGGAACGGACAATTCTCGCCCGCGAAGGCCATTCAATTACATGGATTTTCGGACGCTTCCGAAAAGGCATTTAGCGCTTGTATTTATATTCGAACTCAACATAGCGAAACCTCCTTTTCGTCACACTTGCTTGCCGCAAAAAGCAAAGTCGCTCCACTACAAACTGTCAGCCTCCCTCGTTTAGAACTTTGTGGAGCAGTCTTGCTCTCCAAACTCGTGAAACAACTGCGCGCCCAACTGGACCTGCCACCCCACGAACTAACTCTTTGGTCTGATTCTTCCATAGTACTGGCGTTGTTAGAAAAGCCGCCGCACACGTGGAAGACGTACGTAGCCAACCGAATTTCTCAAGTACTTCAGAATGTTAGCAATGCCAAGTGGAGACATGTTTCAAGCGCAGACAACCCTGCAGATTTAGGAACCCGCGGATGTCGACCGCAAAATTTAGTTGGCTGCTCATTGTGGTGGAACGGCCCGGAATGGCTGGCTCAGCCCTCCACGTTGTGGCCTAAACTTGCGACGCAACATCCCTCTCCTCTAGAACAGAAGCAAGTAGAAATGTTCTACACTGCGGAAAATGACGATCTCCTCGAACGGTTCTCCTCATATTCAAAAGCACTTCGAGTTCTTGCATTCATGCTACGATTTATTAATAAATCTCGTAAACGACCACTTCCGTCCACCCTCATTTTAACGCAGGAAGAGATAAATATGGCTAAAGTTCGCCTCATCAAGAACGCTCAATATAAATACTATGGAGAAACCATCGCCACATTGAAGGCCGCGAAACCCATCAGTAAAAAGAGTTCTTTACTTTCCCTCAACCCGATGTTAGACAAAGCAGGCGTGATGCGAGTGAACGGCCGTCTCGCGTATGCTACACTCAGCTACAGCGAACGGCATCCTATCATAATCCTAGACAACTCTAGATTGTGCTCTCTTTTACTTGATTTCATTCACCAAACACTCCTTCATGCCGAAAAGCAACTTATGATTCATATAGTCCAACAGGAGTTTTATATCCCACGTTTAAGGCAGAAAGTCAAAAAATGCATTTTCCACTGTAAAACCTGTACGATTTACAAACAACAAATGAAATCTCAGATAATGGCCGCCCTGCCTCCAGAACGCGCAACATACTCTCTACCGTTTCATACCACTGGTCTTGACTTCGCTGGCCCGTTTATGGTGAAAACATCCGTCCTGCTAACCGCCTCACACACAAAGGCATATGTGTGCGTGTTTGTATGGTTTTCAACAAAAGCCATTCACCTCGAAGTGTGTTCTGATTTGACCACTGAGGCTTTTAAGGCGGCCTTTGCTCGATTTGTCGGCCGCCGTGCTATTCCACACAAAATCATGTCTGACAACGGCAAAACCTTTGTTGGAGCCCAGAGATCAATTCAAAGAGAACTTTCCCTCTTCCTCAACGAAGTCACTTCGGATGTGGCGGAAAAGTACGCTGTCCATGGGCTATCATGGCAGTTTATACCTCCCTACGCTCCCCATATGGGTGGCCTGTGGGAAGCAGCCGTTAAAAGTTTCAAGACACATTTCACCAAGATCGCTGGGAGCCAAAAATTCACCTTTGAAGCCTTCAACACCCTCCTTGTGCGAATCGAAGCGGTTCTTAACTCGCGACCACTCTCTCCTATATCCCAGGATCCCAATGACATATCGGCGTTAACTCCAGGCCAATTCTTACGCGGTGCTCCACTCCTGTCAATACCAGAACCCAATGTAGGAAACCACTCCCTAATAAACAAGTGGCACATGCTTAAAGTTCTCCACCACCAATTCAGTTCGCGGTGGAAAAACGAGTACCTGAAAGAATTACATAAAAGGCACAAATGGAAAAATCCGCAAGTTAACATAAACGAGGGGGATTTTGTAGTCGTGAGGGATGATCTCTTACCTCCGAACGAATGGCGACGCGTTGTGAAACTGCATCCGGGTCCCGATCAGAACGTTCGCGTAGCAGAAGCTCAAACTCAGGCAGGGACAATCACGCGCAATATTACGAAATTATGCCTACTACCCCCTATGTAGCTTTGGGGTATCTTTACCCTGTCCAAAACTCTTTTATACTCTTACTATTATGTGTTCAACTCATCTCACCAACTCATATGTTCATAAACGTATCCTTAAACTAGGCGCAAACCCACGAGTCTAATACCACTTACGATTTTTTCTCTGCAGATCATCCAAGGAAACGATGGAGCTGAACACGTGTCGTCTTTGCTGCCGCGTCCACTCCTTGCGGTACTGTCATGCTTTCAAGGCCATGACTCCAGCTGAAAGATATGAGTCTGCGCGCGTACATAAGTACTGCGTAAACTGTTTGGCGACATCGCATGTTACGGGCGCCTGCCACTCACCTGCCAGCTGCCGTCGCTGCGGAAAAGCCCATCACACGCTGTTGCATCGAGCACCATCCTCATCGCCAGGTCGTAGTCGGCGAGAAATGAACCGGAAGAAAACCGTGGCTAGTCGACGGGTGATCCGAAAACCGAAGGGCAGAGTGCAGAGTCGGACTTCTACCCAGCAACGCATACGGGAGTTGTTCAAGCGGGCTATGCTTACGCTCCAAAGTCTACAACAGCTGCTACGTATTCCAACGTTCCAGGCCGGCCGCCATGTCGGAGACATGAGCGCAGATCTCACCGATCGTAAATCACTTTGTTATTAATGCACTGGTTCTTAAACCATGAATATGAAAAATTTGAAATGTAAACCCACTGTAACTTTCGAAATTTGAACCTACTCATTGTAACTTAATCTATTGTAACCTAATCATTTTCGCTTATTATATACGGCGGTACGGGGTGGTCTAAGGCGGGTTTGCAGGAGTATCAATTCATTCGCTTTCGAACCGCTGAAGAGACCGCCTCGTTTATTTTGAAACGTCTTTCGCGCCAATGGCACACTAGTACTCGCTAAGTAGTTTTAAATTTACCTTGAATTAACAATTGAATTGATATAATAAAACGTTGTAAAATTATTGCATTCCACAAAGGAAACACCTTGCGTATTCTAAATTAACTTTGCACACCCCCACTTCAGGCAAGCTCTGAACACACACATCAATCTACATCTTTTATCTCGCCTCCGACACACGATTGTTTTCATACAAAATTACGCACAAAAGCTTACTCGTTCGTTTTTAGGCATGCCATTGTTACGAATTTTGAAAGTTCGAAAATACGATTCGGATTGCAGCATACTATTTCTACGAGTCGTAGCAAAATCCGAAGACGAAAGAGATGCAGAATAGGGCAGCGATGATAAAGTTGCCACATTTGGCTTTTTTGGTACAATTTAAAACCAGAAAGTACACCACATAGACCATTTTGGTACAATTTGGAAATGCAGCGCTGGGTATATTTCGATTGGTTATTATATATATATTATATTTACTTTGGTTGAAAACTTCTAGTTATTTACACAAATACTTTCTTCTTTCCCTACTTAATACATACATGGATTGCATTACAAGACTGGCAGTTTTGATTTCTTATAGAAATGGTTTTGTCTTTTTCTACCTCACACCTTTTCTACCGGAGCACAAGAACTTAAAAAAATTTAAATTTATGCGAGTTTTGGGAACAAATTAAATTATCTATATCACAGCGCACAGCAGTGCGCGCGAGTGACGAAAGCAGCCACAGTAGCATGCTGAAATGACTCGCTTAAATATCATCATCATTCATCTTATATATTATTTCTCTAAGGCGTTTTTTTGTTAGTCTTCCTTTTTCTACTTTTCTATGTGTTCGGAGCAGCAGCCGATAATGCAATCAACATAAATCATTAGCCT